CTCGACATAAAAGTAAGCTTCCCCACCGTTCTGTCATTGGCTGATCTAAAACTTGCGTTGTTTTACTAAAACTACTTCGTTTTATTAACTCCCTGGCCAAGCAGTCATGCAGAGTAATGACCTACTGGGGTAAGCTCGCAGTGCACCAGCTCACACGAGCTTTGCAGCCAGCTTGTTAGCAACTCGTTGGCTCGACAAGTCGAGCAAGAAGCACGCAACATCAACCTTTATCGAGCATAGTCAAGAATCACACTCGCGTGTATTAGTTAATCCACTCTGTAAACCCCAGCGTTTGCCGAAATGAAATGGGCAAACGCTTCAGGTTAGCAACATATGCTGCAGGAACAGCTCTTGCTCATCCAATCAAAGGTACTTCCGATTAGCTAAAACTAAGTTGAATTAATCTAAAACTTTGTCACCCACTGGTTAAAAGCGGGTATTTATACCCAGATTAGCCAAAATATCTGAAAAGCACAATATTTATTATATAGTACCAAATATCACAGGGAGTTCCTTCATACTATTAATACTTCAAAGTAGCAAGAGGACCTCGTGTTACAGTATTTTTGCTGTTAATATACGTATTGGTACCACAGTCCCAGGTCCCCATAGTACGCCAACGGGTCGACGATGTCGCCGGTGGCAGCGTCGAATGAAATGCACGCCATGACGGCGTTCCACTCCCACGCCGAGTCCACGCCACGACAAAAAAGGGTACCCACGGACGGAAGGTGGAGCAGACACCGCGTCTTCTCCCATCCCCAGTCGACGGACGCTGGCACGGCAAACGTCGTCGGTGCGGGGGTGGAATCAGGCGAATCAGAAGTTGGTGCAGGGGTGGAATCAGACGAATCAGAAGCCGGTGCGGGGGTGGAATCAGGCGAATCCGAAGTTGGTGCGGGGGTGGAATCAGGCGAATCCGAAGTTGGTGCAGGGGTGGAATCAGACGAATCAGAAGTCGGTGCGGGGGTGGAATCAGGCGAATCCGAAGTTGGTGCAGGGGTGGAATCAGGCGAGTCCGAAGTTGGTGCGGGGGTGGAATCAGGAGGCGCCTCGTCTAGCCGCCGGCCGTCCGCGGGGTACGTTTCTGAGGGTGATGGAGTGGACGATGGCATCGATGTTCCTTGGTAGAGATCGCCCATAAACCTCCAAAACACTCCGTCGTACCTACGACCAAATTCACACAAATCTTACTTATCGATTCTGTCGTGAGCTATATATATATATATATATATATATATTTATACCATCCATAGGCAAACGCCGCCGTATGCCAGTCGTTGAGATCGATCCAGTGTGACGTGGCGTTATGAGATACAGGGAGCACGCGCGTAGCGTTCCATCGACCCACTAGCAAACGAAAACCACACTCTGTCACAACCCATTCCGATATATATATATATTATACAACACGTTTTGATATATATATAAAATAGATACATCAACACAACATGGCTGTAAACATGTACACAAAAGTCGACCTGGTGGGGGGTTGTCGTAGCTCGGGGCGTCGATCGTCTGTTGCGCAGTCACACACCACTGCGACAAGGTAGCGTACGAGTCGCACATTGTCACAGGGACCTCCTCCATCCTTTGAACATTCATCCTACTAGTACATTGTTCAACTGATTGAAACGCATAGCATCCTTCGCCATCCACTTGGTCGTCGTCGACGCTGTCGCCAGCATAACACTCGACGTCTCGTCGGCCGTTTCTTCTCACGGCGTACACTGTCACTGGCGGGTTGGCCACGGGCGCGCACACAAACGGTGTCGCATATAGCTGCAGCTGCCACCGAGTGGCCACTTTGGCGCACCAGTGGCCCGGGTCTGCGTACCCCGGCGTGTTCCACATGATACTGTGGACGCGGCCGCAGCTCAGCGGCGCCACTTGCAAGGCGGCGGCGGCATCGTCCTTGGCGGCCTGGCATGCCGCCATGGACGGAAACCACGCGCAATCGTGTCGATTGGAGCTCCAGCACTCGACGTCGTTGTCCTTGTTGACGCGGGCGGCCAAAACGTCGTCGCCTACGTGTGCGATACAGTGCCACGGCGGCCACGTCGTCGACAGAGTCAGGCCAAAGTACGAAGCGGCTAAGGCGCACCAGTGCGACGGTTGAAAGTACCCTGGGTGCCCCAAGTACTGAACGATGGAGACGCCACATCGAAGGGTTTGGTTTTGCTGGCTCAATGGAGTGTATGGCTGAGTGGCCAGCTCGCACGCCGCCATCGACGCGAACTCTTGGCACTGGGTCACACCTTGTCGCAGACACTCGACATCGTCGCTGTTCATGCGGACCGCTACGATAGAAGGTAGCCCCGTCGTCGAATTTGGCGGTCTAACCATCGGCTTGTGTGATGTATATCATACATTGTTGGTGCATAAGAATAATATTGTGATATTCGCTATAAATTTCCAAAATTCGCCTGGTTTGACAAATCCATATTAAATCATCACGCTGGAGTTGTGATTGGATGAATACACTTGTCCTTTATGTAAGAGCCAATCAAATCCACTCAAAAATGGATTAATAGCCAATCGCGTCGATTCATCATCGTGATTCGGCGGGGTCTGGAAATATCTGTACCGAATCCACAATCATAAATCAAATATATATATATATATATATATACTGTAACTCACTGACGGTACCAACCATGCAGTAGTTATGTTTGATTATAAAGTGATATTGAGATATTACGCTGTAAGTTAAAATCTTTGATTATAAAGTGTATTTATCTGTACGTACGTTGATACACAGTGCCACGTCGTGCGATCCACCAGGCGCTGGGTGTATCCGCACCAGGACCAAGGGTTAGCAAGGGACGCAGTGTCACACATGTACAACGATGTCACATTTGGAAGCACAGTATCGTTATAACACGTGTCGACGTCTGCGTACGTCGTACAGAGAGAAGAGCTAGACGAGCCGGTGTAGCAATGTATGGTGAGTCGATCCACAACTCGCACCAACATAAAGGAAGGTGTCAAAGGCGGAGAAATGCATTGCCACTGAGACGCTGACAGTGTCACAGAAACGTCCGAGTCAAACGCACAACCAGACGTAAAGTTGGTGGAGATGTGGAACTTGCGCCCGACTAGCCAATTTGAATGCATATAATCCACGTTCGAGTAGAACCACGACGTCCACGTCTGAAGGAGGGGCCACCTACACAAATAAATATATAACAATCGCTCATCCTTGTGATCATATAGTATACAAAGAAATATATAAAAAAACGTTCATACTTGTGATCATAATAAATATTCTTCATAGGATAATGCTTTACACAAACACAATTTTAAACACGCATCGAAATATATCATCGTCGTCGTAATATATATATATTATTTTTTATAGCTATCATCCTAATATATAGTATTGCACGTACTGGATGCCAGTGGCATGCCACCGCAACATCATGTCGTTCCAAAATCCGAGCAGAAGCGGCCCATCGACGCCGTCGTCTTGGAATAAATCCGATAATAGAAACCCATCTATGCAGAATCACGATGACGGATTTATATATATATATATTCTATACACCTCCATACATTACAACTATCCATTTTGTATATATATATGTAATATCTTAAAGTCTATGGATAAGAGGGCAAACAGCTGGCTTACCAGTGGGGTACGTATTTAAAATCGGAAATGACTGAATCCATGATAAAAATATGTCCCAATACTGCGCACATCCCCCCAGCGGACACGTGGCATCGTACAAAGCGCCAGAAATCGACGCGACCGGCTGCCCCATGACAGCAGCACACGCTTCCGACGACTTGATTTGGAACGCTTGAAGTGCCTAGATATATCCCCCGCCATTTATTTCAACCATAAACAAACTAAAGAATTATATATATATATATATATAAAGCATCTCTCCAAGCCACGGGTTTTCAATCGTTTTGGTCCAACAACCATCGCAATACCTACTACTACTACTACAACTATATATATTATACTGGTACCCAGCAACGCCTACTACTACTACTACTACTACTACTTCTACTAGAGATATTCTACCTACAAATAAATCGAATGCCAATACATAGCCCCCCTGCATACCAAGGGGTCGTGCCTATTCACAATCCCCATCGAACTACTGTACATACATGTTCAATCCAAGGGCTGGCGAGTTGACGCAATGCACGGGCGCCGCACGTTGTCACAGTCGTAACGTTGTCGCAGGAAGTGGCCGAGCACAGCACGTCCATCCATTTTGACACCCCCGCCGCAACAAATGACGTCGGGGCCTGCCCAAACTGAGCTTGCATTTCCGCCACAAAGTCATCGCAGCACCCACCTACCATATACATACACACAAATATATATATATATATATATATATATACTCCAGCAGCCATAATTATAAACGATCGTCCCCATTTTCATTGATCCAAGGGCGTCTCCAAACGTGAGCGATGTATAGTGTGAAGAACACCATCACAAACACCACGATCCCCGTGATGTTATATATCTTTATTGTTATAAAGATATATATATATATATATATATATATATATATGCGATAACGTTATGCTTGTTTGTTCGTACCGGATTGGTCAATCAACCGGTCCAGCGCAGGTAGCAGTGTCTCGTGGAAGCACGGCCTCGCTAGTCATATTAACCACATCACATACGAGTATATACCACATCGCATATACACCACATCACATATATATATCACATACTAGTATATACCACATCGCATATACACCACATACTATTAATAGTTAGTATACACCACATCCCATATACATCACATCCTATACAGTACACCACATCACAGATATACTACATCACATATATATCACATACTAGTATACACCACACATTTGTTATAACGGCCAAATCAAATCCAAATTCCCTGTGACACCGTACCCGTAGCATACATGGGGCACACGCGGGTCGTGTACTCGTCGGCCATCCGATCCGATGCATTCCAGCGCACTCCTGCCCAATCAAAAGCAAACCACGCGGCACACCGACGGTCTTGGAGGACAGAGTCGATTTCCATCTGCACATGGGCGCCAGAGATGGAGCCGACGCACGTCGAGAGGTGGCGGACGAAGAAGGCTGAGAGGACGCGCGGGATGTCCGGCTCGAGCGTCGTGTTGATATTGCCCAGGTACGCCAAGCTTGGCGTGATTTGGAGCGGCGCCGTCAAGTCGTAAGCTGGGCATACGCCCAATGACGTCATGTACTCGAACAGCGCTAACCAAGTTATATACACATAAAAAACATAAGAACAATAATAATACTTTTGCTTTTCAAACAGGAATGGTAATGGAAAAAATATATATATATTCATGATAGTGGTGGCAGATGATGTATACTCAAATATGCAACAATAATGAACGACACGATACTTTGTATGTAGGATTCACATATACACATTCTTCGCGAGCAGCTCACGACAGGAGGTATTGTGAAAGATCGTGATGCAGACTATATAGAGGAAACATTTGAACGAAATTCACAATCAATATATATATATATATATATTACAATATACATATATATATACATATACTACAATTTATACAATATTATATATATATTACAATGTACAAAATAATATATATATTACAATGTACCAAATAATAATATATTACAAAATACAAAATAATATATATATTACAATTTTCAAAATAGTTTATATATTACAATTTATAAAATAATATATATATTACA